GGCTTTGGTTCCTGGGTTTGGAGGTTTAGTGTCGTAATTTCATGGAACATCCCAGTTATTTGACCTAATAATGTGTTTAGTACTTATGTTCTTCTCCTCAGTTCATTGCATAGCATAGTGTCTGAGGTTTTAAAACCAGCCATCCACGGCACAATGATTGGTCTCTATCTAGAGCAACAGACGAAGAAGGCTAGAATGAGGATATGGGTGTGTGGCTAATTGACTCCATGAACAACTTCCTCCTTTGCCATTAAACCGTAAGAACTGGGCTGTGCCCAGCTACTATTACTGAACATTTTGATTCAAGATGCCATAGAAGAATCCTGGTCAAAAGGGAAAATAAAATGTTAAATTCTCATAGACTCTAGACTTTATGGAGACAGAAAGGGTGGATGGAATCCCAGAAACAATTACATGAGACAATATTTAAAACTTACACAAAAAATATTCCCTGAATACATGTTCCATGTTTTCATCACTTTCTAAACTATATTTCTTAGTCATTCTATGCATCATAACACTATGACTGCTGGTAGATTTCTGCCTTCATTCTTTTGTTTCTATTTTTAAGACACTGACGGTGAAAAAAAAGAAAGAAAGGAAGAATAGTTGCTATTCGTTGTTGTTAGATGTCACCAACTCATACTAACCCCATGTACAACAGAATGAAACACTGCCCGGTCCTGTGCCATCCTCACGATTGATAGACTTGAGCCCATTGCTGCTGCCACTATGCCAATCCATTTCATTGGGGGTCTTCTTTTTCCCTGACCCTCTACTGTACCAAGCATGATGTCTGTCTCCAGGGACTGGTCCCTCTTGACAAATTGTCTGAAGCAGGAGAGATGAAGTCTGGTCATCCTTGCTCCTAAGGAGCTTTCTGGCTATACCTCTTCCAACAAAATATGACCTTGCATAATTTCCACCAGAACTGAGACAAATACAGAGTTCAACTGCTCCATTGGGTTTTCTTGACTGTAATCTTTTATGGAAGCCTTACTGTGGCACTATAGGATAAGCATTAGATTGGTAACCATAAAGTTGGCAGTTCAAACCCACAAGCCACTCTTGGAAATCCTATACAGAGACACTATTGATTCAGAACTATTGCTACAGCAACCACCACTACCACCACCATAACAGCACCAGGCTTAACTTCTGTAGCACAACTAAATGGGTTCGAACCACCAAACTTTACATTAGTAGTTGAGTACAAAGCACTTGTTCCACCTAAAGGAGGTGATATTATTACTGAAGATGTATTTTTAAATTTTAAGATGTTCAGTTTTACTCATTTAACCAGAGTCACGTGGTTAAAAAAGAAAGGTGTTCTGAAATGGTTTTTAGAGGTGTATTGTTTAGGTATTTTTTTAATCTTCTAGCATTCGAAAGGCACACTGGGTGGCTGCTAACTTATTAAGGCTTATCTAAAAGTGAAAGAAGGAACCCTGATGGTACAGTGGGTTAATGCTGGACTGATAACTGAAAGGTCAACACTTCAAACTCATCAAGCACTCCACAGGAGAAAGATGAAGCAGTCTGCTTCAGTAAAGATTTACAGCCTCAGAAACCCAGCGGAGCACTGCTACTCTATCCCACAGCATGGCTGTAAGTTGGAATCAAAAAAAGTAAATGACTAGTGAAATTTTATTATTCTGAATAATATCCAATTTTTATTGACTAAATGAGAGCTAGTCTCTATGGACTGGTATACAATAAGGAATTTACTGCAAATTTTTCCTTTGGCTCCACCCTCACCCCCACCACACACACACACACACACACACACAAAACCAGTGCTGGTGAAGAAATAGAGCCAGGCAGCCAATTGCTTTTTGGCACCCCTACTTTCCCATTGTAATTCAGTTGAGAGAATCATTCACAAATAGATGCATTTGTTATGCGTGTGGGAAAGGGAGCCACTAGCCAGGCTTGAGAAAGGAACACAATCTGGCTGCTTTCAGCAGTCCTGCCTGGGTGTGAAAGGCTTCTTCCTCACCAGGCAGCCTCACAGTGCCATTCTGAAATCCTGAACCCTGTCTGAGATTAAATCTGTGAGACTCTGCTGCTTGTGTTAAATTCAGTAAATGGAAATAAAAGGGAAACAATTTAAGATCTGATGTTTGTGGTTGATGAATGCAAGAGTACCACTGGAATAGATGACTATCATGAAGGCTGGTCTTAGTTGAGAAAAGACCCATAAACTTGCCTAAGGACTCCAGTAGCTTGGCCAGGACACAAATGAGCTGTCCCTAAACTGTGAACACACGGCTCTCCATAAACAAGCTACAGAGTGTGGAGTCAATTCTGACTCATAATGACCCTATAGACAGAGGAGAACCGCCCCCAGAGGATTTCCAAGGCTGTCAATCTTCTGAAAGCAGACTCTCCCAACTTTTTCCAACATAGTTGCTGTTGAGTTTAAACTGTCAACTTTTTGATAAGAAGCTGAGCACTTAACCATTGTACCACCAGAATGTCTTCCATGCAATATGCTAAAAACAACCAACAACAACAACAACAAAAACCCCACTCACTACTATTGGTTTCTGTAAATCTTTACAGGAGCCAACAGCCTCCTTTCTTTCTCCAGAGGAGCTGCTTGTGGGTTTGAACTGCTGACATTTTAATTAGCAGCCCAATGAGCATGTTGTATAAAAACTATGTGTTGTTTTTTTTTTTTAATTACACTACATGCTAGAAGGGTTCATTTTCCTATGCAGATAATGTCATAGATGGTGAGTACACGCTATGGTAGCCCTCAAAACCCCTATTTAATAAAACTTTTTGTTTTGTATATTTGCAATGAAAACCAATAGAAAATTCCTTTGTATTTTATTCACTACAGTTCAACAAATTTATAAATAGTAACAAACTTTTGTAAAAGCAACCTGAATGTGTCTAACTTCTATGGATAGTAGTTTCTTTTTCCTTTTTTTTTTCTTTTTTATTGTGAATTGGGTTGAAGGTTTACTGAGATCATCGGTTTTCCATTCAAAAATTCATAAACATTTAGTCTCATCTCTTTGACTGCAGTCCCCACAGTGAAACATCACTATTTCCACTTCTTCCCTGTGTTTCCTGTTTCTATATGAACAATCCTTTTTATGAGAAAATGTAATCCTACTTCCCAACTTGACATATACATGAGCTTTCAGTACACAGATTCTCTCTAATGCTGGGAAATCACCATGCCTTTTTAACTTACCTTCAGTTCATTCAGTTTTACGTGCCTAAGAGCATATAACTAAATTCAAATACAGGTCAAATTATCCACATTTAACAAGCCCTTCTTAATGAAATCTCATCTAGACCCTAAGCATCCACATGTTCAAACACCACACCGACTTCCATCAAGTTGATTCCAACTCATAACAACCTTATAGGAGAGAGTAGAACTGCTCCTGTGGTTTCTGAGGTTCTGCATCTTTCCAGAAACAGACACCTCAGCTTTCTTCCACAGAGCTCTTGATTGGTTCAAACCACTGACCTTTTCGTTAGCAGCCCAAGGCTCAGCTCACCGAGGTTGTTGTTCCATATGTTCAAATACTATAATTTTCCTCCTTGAATGCATCCATTGTAGACTGAGCTATCTTATTTTTACTTGTTTCCTTGGTAGAGACCATGTCCTCTTTTTGTTTGTTTTTTAAATGTTTTACTGTGAATTATTTGATAGTTTACATGGGAGAACATTAGCTTTACATTTATCCTATCATATATCGTTTCACTGCCATGGTTACAATCCCCTCCATGCATCATCAAACAGCCAAAGGGTATACCCTGCAAGCCTGCCGGTGGTCAACACACAGCCCCTCTCCCTCTCTGGGTCTAGAGTCCCCAGCCGCTCCATCTCTCCACATCATCATCTCTGCCTCCATCTCTGGCGTCACTGCTTCTCTGAGTAGGGTCCCCGCATTCTGCTCTTCTCCCTTGGTGGTCCCAGGGACCTCTGCACCTGGACTACAAAGTCAACCATTCCCCTCGTTTTGCCACAAAATGTCTACCTTTACATTCCCAACCCTCACAGTCAGTCCTGATAACAATTATTCACTATTGTGCCACATGAGTGCTATCCCCATCTCCTTTCATCAGCACTGCCCAAACAGATTGGATACTACTCAATGATGATTCTGTCTTCCTCTGCAAACTCTGGTTCTAGGTTCCCTCTTGAAAGCTTGTAAGCCAGTCACTTCTTGCTTTTGTAGCCCTCCATTTTGTCATGTCCTCTTTTATTCTGAATCATGCCAAGGATGCTGTCATCCCTCAGTAAATATTTATTAGCAAAAACGTCCACAACTTATCAAGCATTGAAGAAGAAGCCCTATGAAATTTTAAGCGTTACCACTGTCAGGCAGAAGCAGTTTATAGCAGCACAAGGAAGGGAGTTTGACCCTGGAAGAGACTCCAGGCATTAGTTCAAAATGAACTTGATCTGAATTCTTCTTGATTAGTATTCCTGTATCAAATGGCTGTAAGGTGGCCACTGGATCACTTTTTCTACTGTTTGGATCCCAACTAATACCAAGAAGAAAATTGGAAACTTTAATGTATTTCTACCCTGCTTTGTTCTGCATTTGTCTATGAAAAGTTAGCATTGAAGGGTGGGAACTTTTAAATGAATTCCAAGAGACTATGCCATTGATTTAATTCAGCTGATTTTTATTAACATTGGTGTTGACATTTTTATCAACATGATAAGAAATCTGATTTCACCAGATTTTTCCCCTCAGAGATGTCATTGAGGGCCCAGACCAACCTGTCAATGAGGAGACAGACCCATCTTCCTGGAACCTGCCAAGCGCTGAAAAACACAGAAACAGGGAGCTTCTTTTTACATACAGCAAGGGGGAATGAGACTGAGCTGGTCCTGGGAAAATGAGCAGGGTTTTGAAGACAAGAGGGAAAGGGCTATTTAGGTCAAGAAAGTGCTTATGGCAGAGCAGAGGTGCTAGAAAGCATCCATCTTTTTAACTTCTGGTTCCCTGTCTTTTGTGTTTCAGAGGAAAGGCAGCCGCCATATAAAAAGTGAAGACAAGAACAAATTAGCCAATAGGAGCGTTGGATTAGACACAGCCATGTCACAACCTACAGAGGGCAGACCCCCGCCGGAGGAGTGCCCCCTCTCTACTTCTAGAGAATATTGGATGAAGGAGGGGAAGTCTAGGCAGTACAGCAGCTTTTCCGGGTTCAGCAACAATGACAGTGTCGTGCGGGAGTTAGATGATGGACAGTTTGATCAGGAAGATGGAGTAACCCAGGTCACATGCATGTGAGCAAGGAGGTAACACAGTGGAAGGCCCCGGAACTCATTCCTAAAGTGATTGTCAACTGACTTCATCATATTACTTTATCTGCATGTATGTAATGCTTTGAATTTTGCCAGACCCAAACTTTCCTCTAATCTGCCTAAACTTCAACTCAACCTCCAAGATAAGGAAGAATAACCAGCGTATTTGTACATTTAGAATTGTGTTTACACTTGTCTTAATTAAAACAGCTGTTTAAACAGATGTTCCAATAGTTTGTTAAATGATCATCTCTTCCAGTTTCTTGTGAATGTACAAAGGATACTTTTACTATAATTCCTAGGAAGGAGACTATATATTCAACCTGTATTTTACCCAACTAGGTAGTATAGTAGGCTACACATTGGCCTGCTAACCACAAGGTCAGTAGTTCAAATCCACCAAACAATCCATGGGAGAAAGATGAAGCTTTTTACTCCCATAAAGATTTACAGCCTCAGAAATCCTATACAGGGTCACTATGGGTCGGAACTGACTCGCTGGCATGCAGCAGCAGAGAGTTCTCAGGAAATTACAGTCCTCCTTATTCTGCAAAAGAATCGTCACCCCTCTTTGTCTCTCTCTCTCTTCAACATCATACCCACGTGCGCATACATCTGACCATAAGCCCACTTAATAAAAGAAGTAACTCTTTTCCAAATACAACAACCTAAATTTAGTTTTCAACTGTTCTATGTACATACAAACCAAGCTTTTATTTGTTAAAATGTTTTATGACCAAAAAAAAAAAAAAATCTTATTTGTATGTCATTGCTTTTAAAGAATCACCATAAGTTTATTAAGCCTTGATTCTCCTAAAGGCCCACAAATACCTTAAAAATCAGTACTAAAAGACCCCAAATCTCCATGTCTAAGAAACTTGACAGAAAGAATTAATCTTCTTTCTCTTAAATTATAAAATATTATGAAGAGGGAAAACATCAACTTTAAGTAAAAGCTTAATTCTTTTATATCTGCCTAGAGTCCTGGTGTGGCACTGTGGGATAAGCTCTGAACTGCTAACCAAAAGGTCAGTGGTTCAAACCTACCAACCACGCCTCAGAAACCCCATATAGGGTCACTATGAATCAGAACCAACACGACAGGACTTAACAACAATTTGACTTGCTAAATTCTGAAGAATGTTGAAGCTCAAACTCTTCAGTCCTGCTCACAGCACATGTGACGTGTAGTCACCACCAGCTCCATCTCTGCTTTTCTTGCTCTACTGATAGCATGCCTTTGCCATGGCCTTGTCATGGCAGTCAACGGGTAAAGATTAAAATTGTACAAAATAAAGAATGTCCATTTATCTGTGAAAGGCTTGCTTTGAAAGGTGAGGCCCTTCAAATAAATTCCAAATGACTAAACCGTTGAATGCATCCTGCACTTTTTATTAACACTGGTGATGATATTATAAGATCATTTGAGTAATAAAATGTCATTTGTTATTGAACTATTGTTTTATTGAATGCATGCCCATGATACATTGAACATATATTACAGTTATGTATTACATGTTAGCAAAGATATAATATAAAGATACCAAGTCAGTCTCCATGAATAGTTCATAAGATTAACATGGAATTACTCCACTTTGATAAGAAAAAATATCCAGAAGTATAATGGAACGCATACTGAGAGAATAAAAAAAAATGTACTCTACTCAGTCATATTTTATGGAATGTGTATCAACAATATATTCAGAAATGTTTTGTTTTGATTTTTAGATGAATCTAAGAGTCATATTCAACAGCGGTTGGATTTCTGTAGAAACAAGCATTATTTCTAGACCCCACAAGAAGTTATGTTCTTAGAAAGATTGGTCAGTTTTTCCAAATGCCAGAATCTGTTAGAGGTAGAAGCATCATTATCATTCTGTCAGTACACATAAGTGATTTGAAATATGAAACGCAGAGATAAATATTTATATTTGACTAAGGGAAAATCCAGGAATATTTCAAACTACTTTAAAATTTTTTATTTAAGTTTTTGTAAGCATACGTTCTTCTACAAGTTTGTTTTTTGTCTGAGTTTATCTTTTTTAAAATTACACTTTTTATGGCATCACTGTGGCACCATAGGATAAGCACTCAACCCCAAGGTCACTTTGAACCACAAGGTCTCCTCAGAAACCCTATGTTGTTATGTGCTGTCCGACCCATAGTGACCCAATATAGGGTTTCCATGGAGCAGCTGGTGAGCTTGAACCACCGACCTTGCAGTTCAAATGGCTTCGCAGTCTGGTGCATTAACCCACAGCACCACACCAGGACTCCCAGAAACCCTATACAGAGTCGCTGTAAGTTGGAACCAACGCTACGGCACTTAACAACAATAACAATGAGTTGAAATAGACTTGACAGTACTTAATAACAACATTAGAGTAAACTTAGACATCTATCATATTTTCAAAACTCATTTCATAAGCGTGTTCTTGAAAAATTATCCTTGAATTACATGGCAATTTGTATTGCTGTGAATAAATAATGACCAAGTGATTCTACAGCACTTTGCTATTGTTGCCAAGTGCCATCGACTTGGTTCTGCCTCATAGCAACCCTGTATAGGGTTTCTGAGAAGTGACTGGTGGGTTTGAAGAACTGACCACATACTTAACAGTCCAGTGTTTATCCTACAGCACCACACCAAGACTACCTAAATACACCCAAATAGCTCTGAAGTTAAGTCTTTAAAATGATCAAAGCTTGGGTTCTATTTGTCTAAGGAGGTAAATGTGTTATAGGATAAGCACTGGACTACTAACCACAGTTTGGTAGTTCAAACTCACAAGCTGCTGTTGGAAACCCTATACAAGATCACTATGGGTTGAAACTGACTCCACGGCAAACAACAACAACAACCTTATTATTATTATCTACCTACTGGACTCTTGGTGTGGTGCTGTGTGTCAATGCACTAGACAGCAAAGTCGGTTTTAACTGCAAGATTGGTGGTTCAAGCTCACCAGTCGCTCCTTGGAAACCCTATACAGGGTCGCTGTGGGTCGGAACTGACTCAATGGCACTTAACAACAATTGGACTCTTGATGTGGCACTGTAGTATAAACACTGGACTTCGACCACAAGGTTGGCGTTGCAAACAGCTGCTCATCAGAAATCCTATACAGGGTCACTATGAGTAGGAATTCACTCAACAGCACTGAACAACAACAACATTGTACATTCAGTTCTTTTCATAACAGTGTGTGATTTCTTAGATACTCTGGCACATGATTTTTAATACGTAACATTCATGATAGAAAAGTATCAATATCATAAGTGTGAATGTGAAGTTCTGCCATTCCCTTAGTAGAGCATCCATGCCCCTTCAGTCTTAGGGTCAGTCACCACTTGTTAGTGATGTCTATTTGGAGTGACTGTCTCCCTGTTACCATGGACAACATTTAGCACCTGATCACAGAGGAAGTCCAAGGAGCCACTTTATCACTGTCACTAGAGTTCCCTTCAAAAGGAGGTCTGGTGGTATAACAGTTAAGCGCTCAGCTGCTAACCTAAAGGTAATCAGTTTAAATCCATTCAGCTGCTCTGCAGGAGAAAGGCCTCTGGAGTTGCCAGAAAACCCTCTGAGTCACAATCAACTAACTGGAGAGCACACAGCAAGAGTTCCCTTCAGTTCAAGGAAAACCCCAGGCCATCCTTAAGAGACTCTAGTTTCAGGAGCCTGGGACACCCATAGAAGCAGGAAGCAGAGCTATAATCAATTCAACTTATACTTATCTTCAAATCAGTTGTTTTATTGCAAGCAGGTGTTTATATACTTGAAGATAAGATGTCCTTGTTTTCAGGAGCCTTGTGTTACAGCATGCCTGGCCAGTTCCTGCAGAGCTGAGGGGCTGACTCATTTTCCCAGTCTTTACTCTTATTGAAGCCTCACTGCCATCCCTATGGGCTGGAAGTTCTGTGGCTCTTTCAGAAGGAAGGGTTAAAGAGGCTTTCCTTCTCTCAACCCCTCAGAAGACCCCAGAGTAACATAGTATGGAAAGACTGAATTCTGAGTGAGAACTCAAGTGAATGGAGTGTTTTTAACTAAGAGTGTTAAATCAAGATTTACTGGTAGATACATGTTGTTGTTGTGACCCATAGTGACCCTTGACCCTGTATAGGGTTTCTGAGGAGTAGCTGGTGAGCTTGAACCGCTGACCTTGCTGTTCAAATGGCTTTGCAGTCTGGCGCATTAACCAACCAGTAGATAACATTGTTGTTGTTGTTGTTATGTGCCATGGAGTCGTTTCCGACTCATAGCGACCCTGTACAGGATTTCCGAGGCTGTAAATTTTTATGGAAGCAGAAAGCCTCATCTTTCTCCCGCGGAACAGTTGGTAGTTTCGAACTGCTGACCCTGAGGTTAGCAGCCCAATGCGTAACCACTAACTACCAGAGTAGTCCTGGTGTGGCGCTGTGGGTTAATGCGCCAGATTGCAAAGCCGTTTAAACTGCCAATATCGGCGGTTCAAGCTCACCAGCTGTTCCTCGGAAACCCTATATAGGGTCGCTATGGGTCGGAATCGACTCGACAGCACTTAACAACAACAACGCTACCAGAGCAATGCTAAACATCAGAACTTGTGGCACATCCATTTAAATAGCAACAATTCTTGTGGTACTTTATCATCTATTGAGAATGAATTTTATTTGTGTAATAACCAAAATTTTTAGAGGCAGGCCTGGCAGATGATCAAGTTCTAAGATGATGTCTGAGGTGAAAAAGTAGGCAAAGCTTAAACACAATGAACCTAATTTTGAAGAGGTTCAGTTGTGTGTGTTTTTTCTGAAGATAATTCCAAAAGTGGGTTCCAAAAATGTTTTCAGTATTAAAATCATTTTAATTTAAAAAAAAAACAAACACACACACACATATATGAGGGAACTTCAAAAGGTTTGTGGAAAAACATATTTCAAAGATAATGAAATTTTTCCACAAACCTTTGAAAGACCCCTTGTAAAGAATGATGTAGGCATTCTTTG